TGGAAAACTACAAGTCTTTCTATCTACACGACCGATGGTGATTCCTCAATTGAAAGATGAATTACCTAGACTAGCCACTTCTGATTGTCTCTACCAATTCAACTAAGCTTGTGGGGCGAGTTACATTGGCTGCTGCTCTAGAAACTTGTATTTTCGTCCCCTGGAACATCTACCTGTGTGGCTAAATAAAGGTGTAGTGAGAATCACCAAAAGCTCAATATAGAACACCTGGTACCAACCAGCCACAAAGCTAATAATCAAGAGTCCTCCACCATCATCTATCTGGTACAAACAAACAAATTGCCAAAAACATCCTGGTACCGCACACTCCAAACATCAGAGGCTATCGCGATTCGTCTGAAACTACCTGTGTTCTGTGTGCAAAAGAAGCAAGTCCAGTCACTACCACTGCCCTGGCCAGCCTTCAGTGGACACTATAAGTTCATGAATTTGTATTATTATCTTTCCTAATTTTTCTGATATTCGGTGTACTACTGTACTGATGCTATCGAACTGTAATCCATCGATATTATTATTGATTCGATGTTATTTAAACAAGATTAATGTTGTTAATATCACTAACTCATACACTATTATGTGTCTACAACTGTAGAACCTGATGATGAATCTATCGAGAAGAATATTCTCTGTTCAGTAAACATTCTTTTCCAAAATATTTCCTCTTTGTACAGGATTCGCATGTAAAGTAATAACCTGAAGTATATCATGTGATGTAACTTTGTTGCATATAAAGAGAGAACCGATTCTGTACACCTATCGTATTTCAATCTCAATGGCTATTGAGAAATTATACAGTCGCAACATCATAACAGAAATCAAGGGTGAAAACTTATAGTCGATTGACTCCCAATATCTAAGGCTGAATGACGACACCCACGATGTCGTACTACTACCCACTCAGCTTACTCACCATTTCACAAACTTACTCAATGGACTTTGATTAACACTATGGACTTGTGAAGTACATCGGTTATAACTAAATGACCTAGTCATATACATCACTGGATTATATGCATACTGAAACACAATTTGCAATACTTTCACTTACTTGAATTCGTTTCATTTGAGCTTTTAAATCACCAGCCGGTAAAGATTTCGCTTCAGCCTCTAATTGATTAACTTCAGTTTGAATAAGACCTAATAAGTCAGAATGTGCAGTTAGCAGTACAGGTGCAATCTTTTCATTTTGCCATATCTGTAAATGTGTATATGAAAGAATTCTGAATCATGAGACACTTATTAAACAGAAACAATCCAGTTTATTTTAGAAATATTACCCAGAACTTACCGTGTGGATATGTGAAGCAATTAGCGAAAACACAGGATTTTATCTTAATAGATACGAAATTCAAGTTATGCTACACCTAATTAAGCCTTCATGCAACAATTTTACCAGATCGCGTGGTACGTACGAAATCTGTTCCAGGTAACTGAGTTACCACAATAAATACTAAGCTACTAATCGATACAAATATAAGTCACGGTGGATGCTGCATCGCTCACCTTCGGCTTATATTGCGATTACTTTTAGTAAGTATGGAAATGTGACAACTGACTCAGCAAATATTGGCACAGATTCAAATGGAGATCGATTCTAATATGATCTCGTCGATAGTTGATATGACCGTCTGGATTTACACGTGGGTGTATTAACACTGAACACCATGGACAACTCAACTGTAATGCTAAATATGGTTATTCGTCCTCAGTATCTTCCGTTTCACTGAGCCACGTAACTATCAAAAGACAAAGACCGGCCTGTGACTGTTAGTGTACGGACGGACGGCCGACTGATGGCGACAACCATAATGAAGACGACAACAAACAGGATGACTACAACGACCACTTATTAGACACAATATATGATACATGTAATTTATAAAAACGCAGCATTGGGTGAGGCTCGTTTGAATCTCAGAAGGGACATGTGTTCCTTCGAGGTCGCAGGTATACGCCTTGCTGACTGATAAGTGCCAACTAGCACGAAACCTAGGTCCAAGGCTTCCAGACGATTTCCTCCAACCATATAACATCAACAATTCAAAGTGTACCGTGATGATGAGCTAACTAGAATGGTGACCACATTGGAAAGCTAACTAATAGAATTCAGTCTGCACCAAAAAAAGGACTAGAAACATAACACTAGTTACCAACTAGTATCCAATCAAAGTACTTATTACTACTAGTTAACGACAGAACACAAGGGATAAGCAACAGATTATTTCTTGAGAAAATGAAGAGGTATTTGTAGATTTTTATGTACATTATTGTCAGCAGAGAAGCAGCCTCTTCGGATTGGTTGTTTTCTTACCGAAAGTTATTCTGTTATCTCTTTGTAGCCGTTTTGCAGAAAATCAAGCTATATATCTGCGAATCATATTTCCACACGTTAATTCCGCAGTGATTGGTTGGTGATTTTATCAAGGTTAAGGTTTCTTATTGTTTTTTCTAAATTACTTATCTTCACGGTGTCAACCATTCTTACCTTTGCTGAATTCTTATGTTCCGACAATCTGACTAACCCAGATCTACTAGTCGCAGTCATTGCAAGGTATTTTGTAAATTATAATATTTTGTTTAATTGGGTCCACCAGGTTCTTTAGTCTACAGAGCTTTTCTCTGAGTGAGTCTGTAGGTTTGAATGCCACTCTAATTCCTGCTTTATTGAGAATGTTACGTAGGGCCTCAGATGTCCTCTCTTTATTATGGTATAACCAGTAGAGGCCTAATATTCTCTCTTATTTATGTTATCATTATTAGTTTCACATTATTTTTATTTTGCAGCACCGCCTCTTCTATCTGTTTCATGCCATCGTTTAAGTCTTTTTTGTGCTACTTAGTGCTACTGCTCAGTTTGTTAGACACTTAACTAAGCCAGCCTTTACAGATGAGATGAATTGAAGTCTAAATATGTATTAGAATGCGCTGGCTTTTTATAAACGCTAGTGTACAGTTTACCTTCTTCTGTTCGTTTGATTTTACAATCAAACATAGCTAATTCTCCTTGTTCATTTTCTGATTCAAATGTAAATTGTATTCCCCTCACTAGTGAGTTGATATGCGTCAAGAAGCTACAGATATGTTCTGTTTCTAACACTGTGAAAGTGACATCCACATATCTCCACCATATTTTTGGAAAAGGATTAAATGTATTTAGAGCAATATTCCCCAGCTGTCCATAAAGATATCTGCTATGATATGGGATATTGGTGATCCCATCGCTACACCATCTGTTTGTTTATATATTTTCCCTGGAATTTAAAGACAGTAGATGTGAGGCATAACTGAATTCCTAAAATAATTTCCTCAATGGGCAGCTTTGTCCTATGACTAAGTTCGGGAGCAGAAGTTAGATCCCTTTTAACTGCTTCTAATGTCATATTGATTGGTATATTAGTGTACAGACTAGTTATATCAAAACTGATTATTTTTTCATTATTCTTTAATTGAATGTTATTTAGTTTCTTTTTCATTTCATATGAATTAGTTAGCCTATAGTTTGAATGATTTCTAATGGGACATAGTATTAGAGCTAAGTGTTTTCATAATTCATACGTCGGCGTATTTCTGAAATCTACTATTGGTCTTATGGGGTAACCTGGTTTATGCGATTGGTTGGTGATTTTCTCAAGGTTAAGCTTTGTTATTGTTTTTCTCATGACCCTCATTCGGGACGTGAACATTGACGTAAATTGTTGTCTATAATTTCAGGTTGTAGCCAGCTCTCACCACACTAGTAGTTACGCTAGCTTTGTACTGATCTTACTGTTCACCTTATTGGACAGAAATTATGAATTGAACATCTGTTCGGAATGGATTTCTTATGTATCAAGCCATTAACCACAATACTTGTATTAGGGCTGGTTTTACTACCCAATTAACCTGGAAAGATTCGAACCCATGACCCACTAGCTGAAAGCCGAGTGTTTCAGATAATGAGCTACATCTTTGCAACAACATTTGACCTGGTAGTCCGTTTAACTAAATATCCTATCGCTTATCCACACATTCGTGAATCAAAAAAAAAACAGATGAAACCTTCTTCAAAACTCAATCACATTATTTAAAGTGTCTCATAGTTCTTAACAAGTTGAACAAAAAAGAAACATACTTGATATAAACGTTCTAATAATTCAGCCGAAGTAAGTACCTCCTCATTTGATTGGCTTTCTTCATCTGAGTCTCCAATGATTTCATCAAGATCTGGTGCTAAAGGACCACTTGTACCGTTATGATATCTAGCCTAAAATAGTACGACGAAAAACAACAAATGCAAAGAAGTGTGGAGTGATTGGAAGTTAGATCACCAGAAGATATCAGTCAGCTGTTTCGTCCCAGTCCGTGAGCACCCATTATCCCATCGGGGGATCCAACCTACGACCTTTAATGTTATCAGAAGAACTTGTTGATCACTCAGCCATTCGAATGGAATCCAATGGTTCATAATTTCCAACTTTTGCAAATTCGTGATCTGACTTGAAACTAATCAAATCCCTGTGAAAACAACACGTAAAAGTGTAGAGTGACTGCTGAGAATATTCGTATTATTAGTCTGTTTCCACTTGAATCAACTGGTGTGTCTGTGTGACATATAGATTGGTGCAGAAATCACGTTTAACACAGACTGATAAGCTTATTCAGTGATAGTTTCACTAGGTCTAGTCTGTCCTCTCAGCACTATAATAAATATCGTTTGCGTTTCCACACGATGTGACTTCTATCTCACCCAGAATTCCTGTTGTAGTTCAAATTCTTGACTTATATATTATCTTAGCCAACGACGACGACGACGATAATGATGATGATGTTAGCACTAGAGACCAGAATGTCTACATCATTCCTCTTCCAACTGATCAGCTCCACATACCTGGCATCTATAATCAAATTACTTTCAACAGTTGGACTTTACTCACAACTCCAGTGACACACACACGCACACACACAATCTTTTAGTTTTAGTAGCAGCATTAAAAGAATAAGAAGGTATATACATATATTAATAATATTTTACATCAAATCACTGTCTGTACAAATTTATATTGCATAAATATCAACACTGTTTCGGTGCTAATTCTCTCAAACGCTTGATTTTCTCTTGTGGTCGCCCAATTAACTGATAAGTTTGACTAGATTCATCGAATGTGAACGTGAATCTTCTACATCCATCAGGCACTTTAAATGAATGTACAGTCTTTAAATGATGAGATATTGTACAAGGTTTACGAGCCTTATATGCTGTGCATATATGACATGAATACCATAAACCATCAGGATTACTACTTAAATGATAACGTCTATAATGAGAACGATATGCAGTTAATTTACTTGACTTATAGGTACAATCACCCACTTGACAACAGTATATGTAATCAGTAGTATTGACAACTGTTTTATAATATGGTTGTGAAACACGTTTTCGAGGATTTATAACAGCATTATCTTTCGATGCTTTTGAATTTATCGTTTCATCAGTAGTAGTATTAGTAGTGGCTGTAGTAGTAGTAGTAGTAGTAATAGTAGTAGTAGCAGTAGCAGTAGTAGTGGTAGTAGTAGTACTAGCAGTAGTCTTCATTTTGTTTTTTGCCTTTGGACATTCATTTTTATGGGTAGACCAACAATCTTTTGTTATAAATGCTCTAATACATGTAGGACATCGGAATAAAGCTCTGCCTTCAAGATGTTTTGGGAAATATTTCGATTCCATGATAATCTTCAATTCAACTGGACATTGGTTATCTTCATTGCCTGGAATAAAAAGTCATACATACGTGTGTGGTGAAAAAAATAATCTGATTGACATTCATTTTCAAAAAAGCTGATCAGGGAACAAAGAATATGCTTTTCAATAACTTGGAAATTTGTGCGTCGGTGGCATAGTGGTTAGGACTCTCGCCAACCATGCACATGGTCCGGGGTTCGTTCCCATGCCGACGCACACTTGATATCAATGGTCGGCCTGCAAAACTTGGGCTACCTATATCACATGCTGAAAATTCCATACCTGTACAAAAAATACGGTGTGGAATCAAGCTGTAATGAAAAAAATGCTAACTGTGTTATCAAACCTCAGTGAGTAGTCTGGGATTCGAATTCGTAACCCGTAGGTCAAATATCATCTGTGCCATAGTTTTACATTCAGTGAACTGAAATTCTCATTATCACCTGAAATCGTTGTAATAAAGGCTTCATTTTTTTATCGGACCACATTTCCACACAAATCTGAGATACTGTTGTAAAAAAATTAAATTGCTTTAGGTATGAAACAATTAGGGGCTTGAAACGGAATTTCAACAACCACTCACAAAAATGAAGTTGCAGTAGGCAATGGAAATAAATTTGGAATACATATGCACTGATCAGAATCATTAACGTAGGACTCTGAACTAAAATGCATCAGTTCACATCGCTACACTTCAGAAAAGTAGAAAAAGGTAAATGTTTATGAAACGCACGCGAAAGAGAATGATCATGCGAAGATTAGTGTGACATTTCACAAACCGGATAGTGAAAAAGAATGGGTAAAGTTAAACTATCATAGCCAAAACTGCAGTGACCTTGGACATCCAATCGGAATTCAGATGCAAAAAGTCGTATAAGCATTGAGAAATACACAAAGAAACACTGCAAACATGAAATTACACTATATAGTTGTTGCGTATGCGTTGTGAGGATGTCTCTCAGTCACTACAAAGAAGATCTATACAGAAATCATACCATGCGCGATAGATGCATTCATCCAGATGACTGTAGGTCATGATACTTTGAGATCCATTGATATTTATGACACTGTCCCTTAACCTACTCCTGACTCTAACCATAACCCCAACTTTAACCCTAATTCTAACCTTAACCCTACATCCTAAACCCTAATCTCAAAAGCCGAAACTCGATCTAACAGTATAGATTTTCAAAGAAAGTAACTAGAGAATAAGTAGAATACTGTGTCTATCCTCCCCGAGTTCAAAAGAGCAGGCTTGATTTCGTAGAGTCCCCTGTATCTGATTGGTTCTTGAAGGGCAACTTTTGAAACACCCTGACTTTGACTATGATGCTTTAACTTCACCAAGGAATGGTTACATCCACGCTATTCTGAAGAAAACTGAGTCATACCACAAAAAATCTGCAACCATTGATTTTTAACATCCTCAAGACTCTAGCCAAGCAGTCTACACCTCCCTCTATATGTAGCTCGCTCGAACCAACGGTCGGTCAAAGACTTAACAGAGTGGTGCCATATTTTCATCTGAAAACGCTTAACTCCCCTCTAGGCTAATCTCAATTTCGCTGATTTATTTATTTTTTTTTATTTTTGATTACAGCTTGATTCCACACCGTATTTTTTGGCACAGGTATGGAATTTTCAGCATGGATATTGGTAGCCCAAATTTTGCAGGCCGACCATAGATATCGGGTGTGCGTCGGCAGGGGATCGAACCCCGGACCATGTGCATGGTCGGCGAGAGTCGTAACCACTGTGCCACCGACGGAGGCTTGGTATGAGCATGAGACAGTGCATCAAGCTTCACAACCCCATCAACTGACTTTCTCTCCTCACTTAGAATTGCGTCATCACATTACTACTGATCATATTGCTTCATCTAACATACGAGACCAAATGAACACACATTTCGTCAAGAACTATTAACTCTTCCACATCTCCCACTTGCAATACACACTCATAAGGTAAGACAAAGAGCACTGGATGCATAGTACATATATCCGCATATGAAATGTGTCACAAGTTGGACAAAACCGAACCAGCTTTCTCTGTTCATGTGCAGATTTCGTTAATAAGCAGTCCATTAAGACTGATACGATTTCCTAATGCGAGAAGTGGTCAACAAATTCAATCGTCTCACTACCCATTCCCAAACTATGATCAACTTGTACTTGATGGGGGCGAGTTGCACAAAATACTCAGATTTTCACTCAGTGACAGAGTCTTCATCTAAAAGGACAATATTGTTTGCGTGCAGTAAATTAACGAGGTTATTCCCTGATAGCAAGTTAATCCCAGAAAAATCAAAGTTGACCCAACTCATATACATCAGCATATGCATATATGACAAAATTAAATATGAATTGTAACACTATATATTTCTGATTGTCTTTGCTTCAAATAACAACTTACTATAAGCTCTTACAGGACGACATCAGTTTATATATATTGTACTCATGAGTACAAGATACTTCCTTAGAGCCCCTTTCACAAACAGTCATTACCACAGTACCTCTCTCGATTGACAGGGCCTTCGATTCAAGGAATATGGCAGGTGTGGGACACCGGCACGTCTACTTTTAAAACCTGCCGAAAGGTAAAAATATGTTCAGTACACCCTTGTTAGACCCTGAAGTCTGCCTGGTTTCCTAGGCTTTCTCTTGAATATATACGAGGTCACAGTCACGGCAACTTACCAGGTAGATAATCAAGCGATATCATGAGTATTACTGGAATTTTAATTTCTGACGTTGTACGTTTTACATCTGTCCTAGTGGTAGATAAACTGAAACCCACACCACATTTCTAATATTCGTTAAAGAGATGATTTATAAGAAGTCGACTGAGTTCACATTTTCATCAAGTACTCAACCTAAGTTATCGGAACCTTAGAAAACCGAGGTGAAGTACACAAACCTCCTTTGTATGATATTTTTTAGAATTTTTAGTAGTCCACAGGTCCTCTGGTGTTTTATAATTCATTTCTACTCCAATAGAATTAAACATTATCGCAGTTGGACCTATGTTGACAATCGCCAAAACAATTATGCATTTATAAAATATACAAGAATCAAATTCCGGCACTGTGGGACATGGAATCATTTGGTTTACCAAACAACACACAGTGATACAGTACTATCTACAGGTGACTTTTCGAGAACAATTTATTGTCCCCATAAACTTTGGTCTCCCTCTTGAAATGTGTTTTCATGTAACCACGCGTTCATAACCTCCACCAGGTAGGTCCTACTCACAGCCCTCATGAGGGGTGGGTATTCCTCACAAAAGCGAAAGGCTGAATGAGAACGTCTAGCGCCTACACAACCGGACTGGCGTTTCTGGACACACGAATATGAACCTGTTCTGTTCATTGGGAACCATGGGAACGCAGCTCCTGACGCTGCTTTGCTGCCTTTTGGATCAGACTTTAGGTCAAGTGTTCGGAGGGTAGCCCCTTATGATAACTACTTGCTTCAGTCTAAGCGTCTGGGAAGTACACCAACCCTTGCAAAAGCTATGAGATATTGTGTGGTACATCTCTCGGTATCCATAGTGTACGAAGTTTGTGTTTTGATAATAAAGTAATGTTGCTTATAGGCATAGCACAGTTTAAACACTAACTGGTGTTTATGCATCAGCGTATAAGTTTAAGAAAAACAACAACAACAATAGAATACCTGGCTCATTATATCTTATCACATTCTCTCGATCTCCAAGTAAACTCCATATAAAATGCTCCTTGAAATTAACAAACTCTGTAAAACAAGTCAGGCAGCTAGAACAAATGTAATTTGGTAATCCAGTATGACGACGTACATGACGACGAAGTACCGAACGACGACTACATACAAAGTTACACGTATTTCTTTTATCATTATCTAATGATTGCCATAAACAAATTAACTGAGAACTATCTTCATGGCGTTCAGCATCATCCTCATCATCATCATCATCGCCATCATCATTATCACTATCCTTGTTTGAATAATCATGTTGATAAACATGATCTACAAATAAGTAGGCTGAATCTGTACTGAAAAAAGGAAAGAACAATTTTTTTAAATAAATAAATGAAGAACACCGACATCATCATAACTATAAACTAAAATTATGAATGAATAAAAAGGAACTCGGGAATCGACAGAAGGTAGAATTCACGGGACACTGAATACAGAGCCAAGTGGCTGAATAGTCCGCGACATTGGCCTTTGCAACCTGAAGGTCATGGGTTCGCCCCCTGGGGGTTCACAGGCACTTACCACTGAGGAGTCCCGAACTAGGACAAAACAACTGTCCAGTACTTCTTGGTTTTCAATGGTTCTCTTACTGATATCAATACGTGACCAAATTTCAGGGAAATCATAGATAATAATGGTTAGTTAAACACTCAGATATATATATATATATTTTTTTTTGATTTACAGCTTGATTCCACACCGTATTTTCAGTACAAGTATGGAATTTTCAGCATGGATATCGGTTGCCCAAATTCAGGCAGACCATAGATATCGGGTGTGCGTCGGCAGGGGATCGAACCCCGGACCATGTGCATGGTCGGCGAGAGTCCTAACCACTGTGCCACCGACGCACACACTGTTCATATACTAGTGTAACGAGAGGAGATAACAGAATGCATAACGTAAGTTTATTAAGAAAACACACATTATATTCATACATTCTTAACCACATTGTTTGGCTGGGTAAGAAGAGAATAAATCATTCTGATTGGTTGGCGACTGACCCAAGATTAGACAAGTTGTCCAATGGTGGTATTTCATGTCCACAAAGTTAACTAAATCGAGATTTCAGGAATAGACACTTCGTCCTCTGTAGCCATTGAGTTAAAATGTTGACTTCAATTTTCGCCGCTTTCTACCAACCTGCATCACTCCACACTAGGTTATTGGTTATACACTTCGTGTCTAAAGGTTGACGATACTACCCAGTTGGTCGGATTGATGGTGAGAACGGATTCGAACCTTGAGTTCTACTGGCTGGAATTCCACTGATTAAGTCAATCAGCCTGCTCGCGACCCCAGCGTCGGCGGTATAGCGGTTAGGACGCTCGCCGACCACGCACATGGTCCGGGGTTCAATCCCCGGCCGACGCACTCCTTACCTCGCTCAGCGAGAAAAAATGCTGGTAAAGAGGAAAGGTTGGGCGTAAGGCTAGCAACCCCATCCTGTAAAATAAACACTGCTACAGAAACTTCAAGTCACTAGCTTGAAGCCCTATGTTCCACTGGGGAACGTGAAGGAAAAACAAACACACAACAACAAGTCAATCAGCCACACGTCAACTGATCTTAGTAAAAAGGAGTAGCTCAGAGAAAAGTCAGCTACTCTTGTCCATCCACTAACACAGAGCGATGTTATACGATGGAGCAGATCAAAAGTCCAAAGAGATAACATAATTCACTGAGGTGAGGGGACAGTTGGTCGATGAATGAATTTAAATTCATCCCACTACTAGGCACCGCCAACCAAATTACAACAAGAAAAAGTATATGCCTTCGTAAAAAATATGATTTAATTGTCCTCGAATGATGACAACAAATACAGAGCGTGATGATGCCTTACAGATGTCGGGTTATCCACATAATCAACTGAGGTGGACGTGTACCATCATAACCTCAAGCATCAAGGATACAGGTTATGCTTCTTAGATCCCAGTTTCGATAACCACGTACTATCAAAACACCTCACATAATAAGCATAACAAACAGACTGGTGAATTATCATATATTGTTAATAGGAGACACTAGTCAACTAACTAAGACTACAGTGCTCACGGATTCTCATCTGTGACATTCAATAGTAGCCGTCTACTGCGTCCTTCTTTACAACTGTTTGGTGCGGCCGTCGAAAATTAAAGACATAGAGAGGTTAGCAGTCTTTTACCGTAGGTGTCTGTAGTCTATGTACAGTGTTGAGTGGCATAGTACGATGGGTAATAATGAGACTAGTTGCAGTGTTAGGTAATGAGGGCAAGTCAATAGATCTAGTTATGAAGCCACGTCAATTGAAATGACTAAGACATGTGTTGTGCATGGCAAGCCATCGTCTTCCTCGTTGAGAATCATTGGCTAATATAAGAATGGATTGGAAAAGAATCAGGGCTGATTCAATCAAAACCTACCATTAATCACAATCCAGTGTCTTGGACTTTTGATTCCTTCCACCCACGTCAAAAGGTGTAGACTGCCTGGCTGAAGTCATAGAGACGCTAAGAACCAATGGTTTGAGACAATTGGTGAAGTAGCACAAAGTTATCCTCAGTGGTGAAGAAGTATTCACGCTTTATAAACTCCCAGATCCACTAAATTCTCACTACTTTCCATGCAATTATTTTCTTTTTTGCCCGCAAACTTCTATTTATGATAGTTTATGTGCATTTCTTTCCTCAATTTTATCACCATTATTTGCGCTTGCATAAAGTTTGACAATTTGAACTGATAACATAATTGTGCATAATTCTACGTTGCAAATACAGCCAATTAGTCAGTCAGCAGATTGATCGCACATGAAAAAGAACCGTCGGCCAATGAATTTCTATTAAATAACTCAATTAGGTCTTTAACTTCATCTATCCTCTAGAGGTTATAGATGCGGATTACGAGGAATTGCGTGAAACTATATCGAATAAAACACTTATTATAACTGATGCTAAATTTTCAATGATTCACTGACTGACTTAGACACACAACAATAACAATAATAATAAAAATAACAGCAACAACAAAACATGAACTCTAATAATAACAGCATAACACAATAAAATAACAGAATTTACACGTAGTGACAATCTTTCCATTGACAACAGAAACCTTCTCCTAAAATTACAGGATTTGATAAGAATTTGTCTGTTGATCGTTGACGATAGGCTGGTTTCTGATAACTGGGTCCAGAGCAGACAAAACTCCATATTTTATGATGAGATCTAAGTAGTACATTGGTATCAACTATGCAATCTTCAAAAAATGCATGTAACAATGCATGACGTAATAATTGCTTGTAATCTTGAAGAGTGTTCATTTGACAATCATTCCATAAACAAATATTCGTTGAATGTTTTATATGACATCCCATTAAATGAACATGAAAACGAGTATAATTAGGGAATGATTGACCACAATCACCCCATTTACATTTAATGAATAATTCACTATCTGGAAGAAATAATAAAAATAAGTTAAGTAAACTCAGAATCTCGAGTTGTTCCAATAATTTGTTCTAGAATAAAATTCTCTCAACGGTTAATTTGTATGGGTTCGTTTTACTTCAAGTTGGATGTCAATGAGAGAAACCGTGAAAATCAAGGAGTGCCGGATAGCCGTTTCTTCCTAGCTCGGGACTCATCATCAGTACACACCCATGACCTCATCTGAGATCGAACTCACCATGACGTTTGGGTGTTACATGGCCAAGCTTGCTGACCGTTCAGCCACTTATAACAGAATCTAATGGCCCACAAATTCTAACTCCTGTCAATTCGCGAGTTTAGTGCGACCGCCTAACGATGTCATAAGCGAGTATTTGTCTTCACCTCCGACCTGACAGACACGACACCATTGGTCACGATTTCGAACTAGAACTTCAAGCAAATTCATACCGTAATCAGTCGCTAGCGATTATCAGATTGATATTCAAAATTTAGTCTACGGGGGTTTGATTTGTTACAAGTTTGATCATGGACTGATATCACAGAGAGAATCATTGAAAACCACAGCTGGACAGCTGGTTCGTCCTTGTTCGAGACTCTTCAACGGAAAGAGCCCACAACCCCGTACGTGAACGAATCCAAGACCAAATCCGATTAACCTTGACAGAAGATGTCAATAAAATATGTGGTATATTTATTCTTCCCCTTCATGGATTTTTCATGAATTTGAATGAAGCAAGAACAACCGTATGTGCAGAACAGGATGGTACCATCATTTCATTGACCTCTCAACAGCTGCATACAGTCTAAGGAAATTTTTTAGATTCATATACAGAATAATCTAAACATACTTGCAAGTGTTACATAATGTCAGTTGATAAGACTTCAAGCTTAGCAAACGGTGCTCAGATAATGCACTTATAGTTTATACCCATAAGGTTCAAGTTTAAACAAAAGCTTGGAGACAATGACAGAAGGGTTAAGCAATAAAGACAAGAGGTGAATAAGATGATGAGTAACTAATAAGTTGAGCAACAATATGGTGAGCTCAATTGAAATTATGAAAACATGAGACAAGCAAATTTACACTGTATCGAAGAGGGGAGAGGTTAAACCCAAAGACTATGTAATCAAACGAAAGACGGAGATAAAGAGGTCCGGTTACCAGAGCAAGGAATGACTGATAAATGCTTCTTTCTGAACACATAAATCGGGCTTCAGGTGTTTGATGGCAGTTGCTTCAGCAAACTTGAAGGGTACTGAACTATTTTGTCGATTGATAATTCTAAAGGATTTCGTGACGTTGTGTCTGCTAATGGCACCATTGTACACCTTTGTTCCCTTGAGACTTAAGCTTTTTCGTGCATGTTTAGCTGCAGGATGGATTCTAGCTAGTGAGGTAATCAATCTTCTGTTTACTATTCCCGCAATATCATTACCTTTAAAGTCAAGTTGGATGAATATGAATTTCCCCCCCATCATGATTTGTTTGGTATTTGAACCTTCCCATCTTCTGTACTTGTTGTGAATGAATTTCTGAGAGTAACTGGTGTTGCTCAACATCTTTTCGAGAATCAGAAATTTGTCTTCTAATTTCCCTGTAGAGCATATTCTACTGACTGTAAAACGGATTTTTTTTATCAGTGTCACCTATAACGTTTTGGACAACTGACATCATACAACCTATGCAAGTATGTCAGAACTGTTCTGTACATAAAATTAATAATTTCTTTAGGCTGTAGGCAGATGATGAGAAGCCAACGAAGCAAGTAATAGTACCATCTTATTCTGCACAAACTGTTGTTCTTGCTTTATTAAAATAAAATATTTCAAAAACAGAACACTTTCATTGTATTTTTACTATTTTAATGAGTGACTTTTAAAGTGAGACATGCTCAAATACTGCACTTTTGTGTGAAGTTCTACTTTGATGAGTCCGTCAATTCAGTCACACAAACAAGTATCATCTCACCATGAAATGTTACTCAACAACCACTTGCAATTCCACGCAGATGGCAATGAGCCACACATATTGTGTGAGGGCTAGTGAGACTGCCAGGCTACTCAAACCTTGTTAAGTAGTGGGGATGTCCAACCTGTGACACACTGGTTGGAATTCCAGCGCCTAGACCAATGGAGCTACAGCTTCGCTCATCTTACCATGGTAACTAAAACTATCCAAATCGTAGGATGTCAGCTGTTTGACACTATAAATGACGTCAAGATTACGAGCGTATGAAGCCATACAATGTACATTACTGATTCCAGAGCGATAGCTGCTACCTTGAAGTGGTGGTCGGGCTTGCATATCGCAATGACCCAACAAACTACACTGGCTGGAACTATTGTTCCTGCAGGTCCTACCATGCCAGGAAGGTTTGTAGGATAGCGATAAAACTAAAAGCAGTTACACTATGCTGGGGGTCTATGGGCGAAGTCGTACTACTGGGGAACAGGGATGTAACTGCAGTGAGGTGTTTCTCACAGATGACCAGCATGCCAGCCAGCTATGCTGTCTCTCCACTGTGGAGAGAGGGGGTAAGAAAAGTTCGACCCCAACAATTGTACTTCCCGACCTACTCTATGGTGGTCCGTGACTGGCGGTAAGTTTACTAATACAGAACCAAACCAAGAAACCAGTTCATACAGGCCGTGTGTGACTGGCCTCAAGTAGTTGTCCCCTGGGCTCTGCAGTCACGCAACACTAACCCTCTTTCTTTTTCAGGTACCCAAAGAATCAATCAAATTCTACGGTGTGGGCAGTCGGGAAGTAACAACCGACCACACACTTCCACGAGCACATGGAGCCTCACCGAGCATCATTCTCCTTTACTCACATCACCTTCATCATCTCACTCTCCTACTACAGTGAGTACTATTCTTCAGACATTACTGATTGATAAGATTAAATGTATGCCAATCATTAACAGTGCTCCACCTTGACACAATAGTAAGTTACCTCTCACACAACGCAAATAAAGAAATAGAAAGAAAAATTTGAATTCATTTACAAAACAAACTATTCAGTTACAAGATAGAAGAAAATTTGAGCAAACAATATTCTTTTGGATAATTTCCTCTTCTAAATTTACTATTATGCATGCATTTATATACATATTGGATATTCTAGAATAATCGTCATTACCAACAGTGGTGGTTTTTAGGTGATATTTATTTGTTAAGATCACAATGAAATTACAGTTCAACAAAGATGCATAAGTTATAATGGGCATAAAAATGGGATAGTAAATAGAATATAAAATAAAATTTGGGAAATCTCTGCAAAAGTTAAGGACTCGAATTTTCTTTTGTCTTCAAAAAGTCTGAATGAATAGTTTCGCTACATTCAGTATAAGGAATAACATGACGAAATTAATGACATCTGCATGGGCAACTTACTATATACTACAATGTTGTCGATTACGCGTTTCTTCTCCATCGTTTTCAATCAATAAATCATAGAAGTCTGGAAAGGAATCACAAGCATACTCAGTAATACAATATTATAATAAATACATACATATACATTTATATACATATATATAAACTCACCTTTATTCAACCGATAATATTAGGTAAAATAGAACTATTGTGGGAAACAGGCTGAAGTGATTCAATCAAGACATGGCAGCCAACCCGAGGCAACCACTGACTATTGATCTCAGACGTGTAGGTAACATTCTCGAGATGATCACAGGAACTTATTGCTACAGAATCAAAGTGATATGGCTCACAATCAACCCCTGTGACGCATGTGTTTCTGCAGTTTGTCTTTTCAATATCACATGTCTTTACTTTTTTTAGAGTACTCCACATCTTTTAGTGATATCATTCCTGCTCGTTTTACTTAAGATTATCATCTCTTGCATATGACAATTGGGATTAATTTGATTTAGTGGCAAGTCCTGTGATGATTCTATTATTCTTTCAATTTCTATGATAAAGTAAGTAACATAAGGGTAAAATTAAAATGTTTCGTCGATTTCAAAAGTCACACAATCCACTGATAAGAATTGTTAGTTGACTTAAAGATAATACCTGATAGTTAATGAACACTCATCATCAAGGTAACTTCATACAGCACTAGTTCAAGAAACAACTTAGTGCTATCCTTCTATTGATTCCCAATGACTACATCCACTGGCTGTTTTTTAAAATATTTTCTCTTAGAAATTTAGTGTTAATCCATTTCCATATTTGTCTAGTCTACTCGGTAGGATTTTGATGCCTCGAAAGGCCTTCTCTCTGGCAAGTAATATGTAAGCAACATACAGCAGTAATGCTTTTAATTCTAAATATGGAAGATAGGTGGCAGACACAGTTATAAATGCCATTTTCAGTTAGCAAGTCTATTTACATCAATCACGTCGGCTTTTGTGTTTTAGGATAGAAGCAACACTTTCACCACATTGGACTCGGGATTAAAAAGCAGTTTAACCTATTTTCACGTAAGTACTTACCAAAAAATTATCAATAAACTAACTAGGATTTCTATACTCGTAGTAAATTCACCACATAATAAAAGTGACAAGCAATAAATCTTTGGAACTGTACCAAGTACCAAGTGGAATCTCTATACATGAATTCTGAGAAACAAACTGAAGGCTATTTGAAATACCAAAGGAAAAAAGGACTACTACATATATATACATATATATATATACATTTACTAAGGAATTAAGTGACGACTTCAAAATCTGAAATGATATACGGCTTTTCCATATTGATCATAAAAAAATCAGCTACACTAGCGGCTCCGAAGAAATAGGAATCCAACGTATGTTCTCAAAACTGCTTGCAGTTGAGAGGCTTATTCGGTATTTACCAGCTCACACCACATCTAACCTCGATGACAAATCTGACTACATATTAAGGAGTGAATGTTCTGCACAATAGCCTAAGCTCTTATTCTACAGCGACACAATATGATCTTTTAAGTTAGAAAACGTAATGTTGTACGTCTCTATTGCACAGCCGTAGTGGAACCACAGTATATGAGACCACACAAAATTCCCAGTACATAGATAACTTGGGTCTCCCCTAACTGAGGTGTCTGGGAGATTGGTTACATTCGATGAATTATAGCTTCTCTAGATAAACCGAAACAATTACACTGAAAATAAGTCGAGGATATCCAGAACAAGACACGAAGTCCCTAAGTGTTAGTCTGAACCATGGTGGCTAAGGTCCATAAAACAACCACAACACACAATTGAAGTTTCATTATGGATGGCTGAAATCAGTCGCGGGGACATAGATGCATTCATACATGCTTTATCATTGTTTTATTTGTTGGCGTTCTATAACCATTTGTTGTATTTTAAATTTATCTTCTCCTTCATTACCCATCTGCCAACAACATACACAGGCGAAAAGTGACACTGGGACCGATAAGAAGTGACGTTAAATATTGTGTTTCTGTCTGACTTCCTGACCGCATTTTCATACCAACTAACTGAGTTTTCAACGTAGAAATTTGCACAAAAATACAACAGTTCAGGTAGCCTCAGTCTATACACCACACTAAGGTAGAACAGACAAATTCATAGCAACTACAATGAATGCAAGGAAGGAAGAATAAGTATATGGCGCATGAGAATATGATCTATCTGGTAGTTCATGAAGAGTAAATGCATCTGCACTACTGACAACGATTTCTAGCTATCTCACCAATAGTTTCAAGCCATTGATGCTTAACATTTCAAATACCCCAGTCAGAGACTCTGTACCTTCCTACGTGACTCAAATCAACAGTCAGATACCCCATGGAATGATGATACGTTTCAATGTACCCACCCCCAACTCTTTCCCACAGAAAAATGAGGTGTCTGATTAAATTAGATAAACTTACTCTTTACTGGAATCAACCCACAGTAGAGAATCCAGTATGTGACTCGTTTTAATTACATAAGGATTCTAAATACAGTAGCAAAAATCAGAAATGATTACAATATTACCAAAAAGTACGGTCTTGGTAGACCGACAACCACAACTGGTAGTGTCATTCACATTAGTTCACAATATACATACACACACACTAACAGATTATTTTACAAAATATTCTGTCAAAATACCTATATTTTGTTTAGTTGCAGAAACAATTTTTTCTTTCGAATTATACAAATTACAGAGACATTTCCACAGTTAGATTACGCAGAAGACTGTAGGAAGAGAGAAGGCAGTGATACGTAGAACAGGTAAGACGACCCCAGGAATTATGGACTTAGCAGACAATTTGTCTAATTTCAAAAAAACTCTAAGATCTACAGAAGAATACCAACATGTTGACAGAAAAAGTAGCGGAGACAAGACTTTTTCTTAATTAAAGCTTGATTCCACAGTATTTTTGGTACAACTATGAAATTTCCAGCCTGTAATATCGGTAGCCCAAATTTACTAGACCAGTCACTGATATCAGGTGTGAGTCGGAACAAGTGAATACAGGGAAGACAAGGATACCTAAATAAGAAAACAAGCACTAATCATCGACAATGGGTGGAATCCAAAAGAGGTCACTCGCTTCCCATATCTAGGCAGAAACGTTTCAAACATAGATGGCACAAATGATGGCAAAGCCAGTTAGTATCGGGAGAGCAAGACAGGCTTTCATCCATCTGAAATCAATGTGGAAATCTGCTGCAATTAGCATAAACAACAAAAATTGGGTTTTCAGCACTAATGATAATTCAAGTTTTATATTTAGGTAAAAGAGTGACCACGTTGCGAAAAGCATTTTTAACGGTATGCTGCAGACTTACCCACAGCTGCCTTCGCTGGCTTCATACTGAAGAACAGAACAGAATTAGTAACACAAAACTCTGAAGGCGGACCAATTAGAGACCTACTGTTTCACATATATACCGAAGGAAATGGAGACGGAATACAAATATGCAGAGAAGACCGTAGAGTGACATCACACTCCAGGCAAGCACACGAGTGAGACCTGAATGAGAAATGAGCTGAGCGTCCGAGTGTGACATAGAGGAGAGCATGTGACGAGGAGATGAGGGTCCATGAGCAATCGCGGTGCCGGCTAAAGAGGGCAGACGTGATGTTCCACTGAGAACCCAAGGAAGACGTAAAAGAATTCAGAAAACACAAATAGGGAAAGTAAACTTTCATGTATGCACCAAGTATAAGTATGCTTAAAATGACATTGAATATTCAATGTCATAAACACGTGCACGTGTGAATCATTAACAGCCTGATCTTACGAAACCTTTGAACAACTTACCTTCTTATCATCAGTTGTAATCTCCTCCTTGAAATCGTAATTACGGTGCAAATAACTCATGTAATCAGGACATTTTACTACGAAAATACAGCGACAAGAACTAGAACCTACAATCCGCCATTTCGTATTACCGCGGTAAAGCGCAAACTCGGAAAAAAACCATGTGCGTGATATCAATATATAAATTCGCAAGCTTCAGAACTGTATTTAAACAGTGTTTATTTTTTGTTATTAATAGACTGCAATATTGTGCTTCATGGATTAAATCAAATTTTATTTTTAAATGCCATGACAACGCTTAGGTCGAGTGTAAAGTATGCGTGATTTGAAAAAACGACAGTTGTATGTTTGTAAATGGAGATTTCTGCCTTCAGAAAGCTCACAGTTTCAAGGCTCAGTAAGTTCTTTGAGTTGTATTGTTCTCTAGACTTCTATCGTTTTTTTATGCTTTCATCAATTGTGATACGTTGTGCAGTTATAAATATGTTACATTTTAAGGCCAATCACTTACTGCATTACTTCCTAAAAATATCGTGAATATTTATCTACAATTATATATTGACTATGCCATTATTTGGTCCATCCACCTCGTGCTTGCATCACTCGTATGTTTATTAGTTGCACTAATTACATTTTAACAAATTTTATTCATTCCGGACATAATACTTCTGCAGTCAAACTCAAAGACCTATAGAATGAATGTCCTGTACTCATGTAAAAGGATAAGGATTTAACTCACCATGCACTCTGACCTGAGCCAAATGAATAGAAATGAAGTATATAACTAAGTTTATATATTGCAGCACTTCTGCCCTTTTATTCCCACTAGCAGTTCCCTGAGAATTTTGTCTGATTAGTTGCTATTTTCGGCTCTAACAGCGGATGAAGCTATCAGTAGAATGACGATAGAATCATGCAAATCCGTAAGCGAATGAGATTTTCATTCAACAATACTTTTATCCGTTCAGGAATGCACAGGTGAAAAACGTAAGGACGAGGCGTTGATTGTAAGATAACCTATAGTGTCCGTATTTCGTGTTGAAATTTATGCTTGTTCATTTTCGGTGAGGTTTTGAATTAGCGAAATATCAGGACTTCTCCTTAGAATTTGGTATTTCAACGATTGCTTGACATACAGTGTTGTTATTCTTCCCAGCACAGTCTAAGGAAAACTCATGTCCGTAAATTTTCATATTGCCTTTTCACTTCAGTTGTGTCACCCATGAAGAGAAATGCCTTATATGGCGACAAAGTGTCTGCTAGCGAGCCCATTATCCCTTCTAATGTTCGCCCATTATATGTTATCCTCTGACCAATATGCTCATGCTATCTAGTTAATATTTCTCCCTCAGTCTTGAGGGATACTAAACTTTTCGTAATTTCCCGATGATTGCACATACACAATGCTCGGGACTTTTATAATGTACGGGATTCGTTAGAACCGATGTGTATGTCCGATTTATCACGAGATGTCTTTCTGCCATGATAAGATCCAAGTTATCGAGCCTTTTAAAAATCCATATTTGTGGACATTATCTAGATCTCACCACTCGACTAGCTTCACCACACAGACACGATAACGGGGATCTGGCGAACACCAAACTTCGAACAGCATGTGGCCTTTGGCTTTGTCAGTCGTCGGGTGTAATATAAAGAAGTGTCAGGAAAGGATACTGTGCCAGTAAAACCTTTTCTCAGAGTAACTGCAATTTTAGCTTTCAACGAGCAGTGGTGATCATCATGGATGAACTTTATCATCATATCTATTTAGCCTAATTACAAATCAGTTTGTTTCAGGCTTATCGGGTGCAGATCTATCTGTTGACTGAAGAGTGCAGAATTTATAGTCCTATAAAGAAAGAACACCAACAAGATTCGGAATCTCTTAAATATCACTATTGCTTGGTCTCATTCATCTGTTAGATGGTATCAAAGGACTTTAAGGTTTAACGAGTGGTGAATTGACTGGTTGTCGGGTGAGAACTTGGCATATATGTATAAACAACTCATTTTCCTCGATAACTTGCTGTGTGTTCAGTTCAAGTGCGATATTCAGTTATCTGTTAAGTGATCTGTGCACTGAGAAGCGATTCGCTCTGTCCCACACTACAGCCGTAACGGATGTCCGTTGTTGTTGGAAGATCTCGAAGCCCAGCAGATTTACAGAGTAGAGGCCTATGTCCAACCGCTGAGTCCGAGGCAATTAACCGATTAAGGTGTCCTGTTCTGTTCATTGATGCAGTTCGTAGATGCATCACATATTCTGGACATCGATATCTTCTGTAGAAGTAGAATCGAGTTGGCATAGTCCTCGTAGTCACTTAGATCCAAATATGATATGAGTCAAAGAGGCAAATGAGTGTTGCTCAAAATCCGCCCTTTCATTCTCCTCCTTTTTCCTGTTATTCCACTTACTCATTCTTAAATTATGGCAGTTTCAACGGATCCACTACTGTCCGAAGTTCTATACCTATTCATTGTATTCTCCTCTACCACTTCCGAGTCTAGAGTCATTCCTCACCAAAATGCCACTATTCTTCTTTTATTTGCACATCACAGCGCACTTACAAATAGCTGCAGAGCGAAATTCGCCTCAAATACTTGCACTTGCATTACCTCCCTAGAAATGTTACTGGTGACCGTCCTGAGATTCAGCTTTATTGACCAACATGTGAAAAACGTCCATTTTTCCGATATCTTAGTGAATAGTTGTGACTAAACTCAAGGCTGACTGCACTTGTCCAATCGCTTACGAAATCTACCGGTCTCTCAATATAAGCTTCTGTTACTGGAGGGTTTCTTTAACTAGTTTCAAACCTGAATTTTCACAGGTCGGCTGTATCCGAGATGCGGCTTTTGTCAGTGACTGAGTGTAAACTATTGGTCTTCAAATGTTTTGGAATTCTACAACAGTGTGTGTATTCCTCTCTGGAGTTCTGCCAACCACATATACCCGGTGACGCAATTGAGTACCTGGGCGTTTTTCCACAAGACTGTGTCATATATTATTTATTGTCCCCCCTAACTAAATTGGATCCAATATCCCTTTCAATAACTTGTATAAAGATTTCTTCAGGTTCACTTCTTGGTGTCGATGTCTGCTATCTTTTGTAGGCTCCTGCGTTATTCATCCTGCCACTGACTCCCTATAGCTTTTCTGGATTACAAGGGGTGGGGTGAGGGAGGGTGGTTACACTTGTTTTTAGTATATGGACTATGAAGACCATGGCACTACTGTAGTCGGTATTAATCCCACAGCACGTCAGGCATCGAGGATCGTTGAAAAGTGAGACGATCATATCTCTAGTATAATTAACGAAGGGTATACACAAACATATAAGTACAAAGATAGCAAACAGATAGAAAGACTGCTAAAATTTAGAATGAGTAAGCAGAGTAAGCAGAAGTGTGAGACAAGAAAGAACATGAGTGTATCACCGACGAGTTTTGAGGAAAACCCATTGATAAGATGCTGCTCGTCAGGGCTATATATCGACTTGGTCGAAAGGATATTCCACTGAACACAGCTAGTGTGCTGCTGCATGATTATCAGACCTCCTCCTAAAATTATCAACTGAAAGTAAGGTAGCCACGACTGCTGTTGAAACACTAGAGTTTGCATCTATTTATTGCCAGTCCATGATGGCCTGATCTTAGGTTTCCTTTCTAGGTGACTGTGGTCAGTTGTAACCTTATAAACAGTGATCAGAGCTTGTCTCAGCTGGGGGTAAATGGTTGTTATGACCGGAACTACGACCCAGTAGACTATCAACAAGTGCCAATTTTAATTCGCTTGCTAATCTGTCCTAATCACACGTCAACACTGAAAATGATACCGCCAGGTTGTGAAGACAGAAGAAAAGACTGGAAGTTGGCAAGAGGGCTCTTGCTGTCTCAAAACAATAGTCGAAAAGAGGTTGAGAGAGCCTGTGTGCATATATGTTTAAAATGAGCTAGGGGAGAATTAACGGGATTAATGAGTTGGGACAGTGAACATCCGATAGGACCCCAAAGGTCATAAGTAGGGTGAGATAAATTCAGGTCACGAATCAATAAGTTAGATGAGAGAAATACAAACAGACATGGAAAAATGACATTTAGGAAATAAGGTCTGTATATGTGACTGGGTTTAAAGAAACGTCATATCCGCGATGTTTAGTAACATAATTTTCTCAGAAAGCTTAGGCGCACCCCTGTTGTCCTCCTCGGCACCCTTCCCACGTGGTTTGAGTTTCTCGAAAAACAGAAGAAAAGTGGTGTTATACACATCAGAGTGGAGTTTCACACCGATTTTAAGGGAGTTTGTGGTGGTATTTGCCCTAAAATCCTACTGAATAATTAGCACTTGTGTCTAGGTTCATCGTCAGAACGAAGCGCAGATTGCACTGTGACGCTGAGCGAACCAAGCTAGAGTCAGCCTGTTCAAATTATATGGCTACCTGGATTTATATCCCGAACAGCACATCATGTTCTCGCCAATTTTTACTCTTTCAACCATTCAAATGTGTCCTTGAATTGCGCGATGCACTCACACACATTTAAAACTGGCTGTCAGTCTACTGCTTATTACTCAGAGATTAAGGGAAAACATTAGGGATCGGTGGCCAAGTTAAAATTTAAGCACCAGTAACTGCCAATCAGCGAACGACGTCGAATTATCCAATGAGATTAACGGACGTAGTTCAGTGCTGCATAGCGCTTGACTCATTTCCAATGCGTGCCCTTACAAGGTTACGCTTGCAATTCGAGGAGGATAGTGTCTTTCAATAGGCAACTCTTAACAATAGGAATCCAAACCGAAACGACCTACGAACGCACAAACGACCTTGAGAAACCAATCAGGTGACTCTGTTGTTTCTAGAAGTATTTATGGGTGCTCTACACCTCTACTGCGATTCCTAATCGCAGTGCTGGTGTATTATTGCCTATAATCCAGCGCTTAGTACTTCCCGGGACCACTATTCACACAGACGAATGGAGTTGTTATGATCAGTTGTCGAATCTCGGGTATATTCATCATGTAGTGAATCACACAGACGGTTTTCGCAATCCTCTGGATGGAACTCATACTAATTGCATCGAAAGTTTCTGGAGTCACCTGAAAAAAGGATTCGATTGGTGAACGGATCAAGAAATCCGATGATATACAGTTGTCTGGATGAGTTTATGCGCAGAAGTTGGTTTAACATGAGCTGTTTTTGCAACATATACAAGAACTTTATCCTTTGTAACTCCTTTTTAACATTGCTTTACTTTTATATAAAGGATATTTTCAATTATGCGCCGTTTTTTGAGCCTTCTGATTGGTCGAAGTTGTCCTTAACAAGGTCGTTTGTGCATTCGTAGGTCGTTTCGGTTTGAGTTCCTATTGTTTAGACTTGCCATTCATTGTCATCC